GGAGGGGTGCAAGGGGAGGGGGTCAATGGGAGTATAAAAGGGGACATTTGTAATACTTTCAACAATAGAGATAAAAAATTTTTAAAATTCTGTTTCTGCCTAAATTTTCATCCACTGATTAATCACACAACCTGAAAGTAACCAACTGCAAAAGGTGGAAGGATTACACTTCCTCTATTTTATTTTATCCAGAAAGGCTGACAAACATAACTTAGCTACTAAGCCCAACAAAAATAGCAAACATCAGTTATTATCCTATTTATTGATTATTCACTTACCACAAGTGAAGTAAGTATTTTCTCTGAATAAAGCTACAGATAGTAGTAAATATTCTACCTTGGAATCATTTTGGAGAGAAGGAACCTACCTCTTTAGGAGTTTTATATCCATCTCGTAGAAAGCGACAGCAACCATAACGACCCTGGGAATGCAGAGAAAAAAGGTGAGAAGTATGCATATTGGTCCAGCCATATAATTAATTGGAAATACATCCTTTTCTATAACCTTTGTAAACATTTACACGCCCAACATAGGAGCATCTAAATATAGAAAGCAAATCTTGATGAACATAAGGGAAAGATCAACAATACTACAGTTACAGTAGAGGATTTTAACACCTGATTGACATCAATGGATAGGTCTTCCAGACAAAATCAACAAGAAAACAGGGCCCTGAAATGACACACTAGGACAGATAGATTTAACCAATATCTTCAGAGCATTTCACTCCAAAGCAGCTGAATAAACATTCTTTTCAAGTGTACATGGAATATTTTCTAGGATAGTCTACAAAACAAGTCTCAATAAATTTTAGAAGACTGCAATCATATCAAGCATCTTTTCTGACCATCACAGTATGAACTGAGAAATCAATCACAAGAAAAAAGTGAAAAACCTACAAAGACATGGAGGCTAAATAACATATTACTAAGTGATGAACGGGTTAACAATGAGATCAAGGAAGAAATCAAATGACACCTTGAGAAAAATCGAAATGGGAACACAACAACCCAAAATCTATGGGACACATTGAAAGCAGTACTAAGAGGGAAATTCACAGCATTACAGGACTACCTCAAGAACCAAGAAAAATTCCAAATAAGCATTATAACCACACACTTAAAGGAACCAGAAAAAGAACAACAAACAAATCCCAAAGTGAGTAGAAGAAAGGAAATAATAAAGTTTAGAGTGGAAATAAATGACATAGAGACGAAAAACAACAACAACAAATTAACAATATAAAAGATCAATAAAACCAAGGGCTGGTTCTTTAAAAAGAAAAACAAGATTGATAAACCTTTAATCAGACTCATCAAGAAAAAAAAAAAGAGAGAGGACCCAAATAAATAAAATGAGAAATAAAAAAATAGAATACAAAAATACAAAGGACTGTAAGAAAATATCATGAACAACTATATGCTAACAAATTGGACAATCTGGATAAATTCTTAGAAACATACAATCTTCCAAACTGAATTAAGAAGAAAAAGAAAGTGTAAACAGACCGATTATGACTAATGAAATTGAAGCAGTAATCAAAAACTTCCAAAAAACTAAAGTCCTGGACTGAATGGCTTCATAGCTGAATTTTCAAAGAATTTTCAAAAAATTTAAAGAACTACCACCTACCCTTCTCAAACTATACCAAAAATTCAAGAGAGAAGACTCCCAAGCTCATTTTGTGAGGCCAGCATTATCCTGATTCTAAAACCAGATACAGACATGACAAAGAAAATTATAGGCCAAGATCCCTGATGAAATAGATGGAAAAATCCTCAGCAAAATATTAGTAAACCAAATCCAGCAATACATGAAAAGATCATACACCATGATCAAGTAGGATTTATTCAGTAGACACAAGGTTGGTACAATATAGGCAAATAAATAAATGTGATACACCAATAACAAAATGAAGGATAAAAATCATATTATCAGCCCTGGCCAGCTTTGCTCAGTGGTTAGAGCATCAGCTTGCAGACTGAAGGGTCCTGGGTTTGATTCTGGGCAAGGGCAAGTACCTTGGTTGCAGGCTTGTCCCCGGCCCCAGTTGGGGCACGTGTGGGAGGTAACCAATCTATGTGTCCCTCTCACATCAACATTTTTTTCTCTCCCTCTCCCTTTCTCTCTCTGTTCCACTCTCTCTGAAAAGCAATGGAAAAAATACCTTTGGGTAAGGATTAAAAAAAAAAAAATCATATTTTCAAGCAATACTTCTAAAAAAAGCAAAAATCCAAATCCAACACCTATTTATAATAAAAACTCTCAGCAAAATAGGAAAAGAGGGAACATACCCCAACATAATAAAGGATATATATGACAAACTCACAGCTATCATCATACTCAATAGGGAAAAACTAAAAGTGTTCCCCTTAAGATCAGGAACAAGCCCAAACGGTGAGGCTCAGTGGTTGAGCATTGGTCCATGAACTTGGAGATCACGGTTTGATTCCTGGTCAGGGCACATGTCTGGGTTGTGGGCTCAGTTCCCAGTAGGGGGCCTGCAGGAGGCAGGCGATCAGTGATTGTCTGTCATCATTGATGTTTCTACCTCTCTTTCCCTCTCCCTTCCTCTCTCTGAAATCAATAAAAATATACTAAAAAAAAAAAAAGAAAAAAACATTAGGAACAAGACAGAGATATCCGCTTTTACCACTCTTATTCAACATAGTACTGAAAGTCCTAGCCACAGCAATGAGAGAAGAAAAAAACAAAAAATGTATCCAAACTGGAAAGGAGGAAATAAAACTCATTACTTGCAGATGACATGGTACTGTATACAGAAAACTCTAAAGATTCCACCAAAAACTACTGATAAATAAATTCAGTAAAGTAGCAGGGTAGAAAATAAACACCCAAAACATGCCATTGACCCAGTGATCCCACTTTTAGGAATATATGCTAAGAAGCCTGAAACACAAATCAGAAAGAATATATGCACCCCTATGTTCATAGCAGCGTTATTTACAATAGCTAAGATCTGGGAACTGCCCAAGTGCCCATCAGTAGATGAGTGGATAAAAAAGCTGCGGTACATTTGCACAATGGAATACTACCAGCTGTAAAAAAAGAAGGATCTCTTGCCCTTTGAGACAACATGGAGTGACCTGGAAATTATTATGCTAGTGAAATAAACCAAGCAGAGAAAGACAAATACCACATGATCTCATTTATATGTGGAATCTAATGAACAAAATAAACTGACAAACAATAGATCCAGAGACATGGAAGCACACGACAGACTGACAATTCTCAGAGGCAAGGGGTGGGGAGGGCAGGAAGAGATTAACTAAAGAACTTATATGCATATATTCAAAATTCATGGACACAGACGATAGTGTGGTGAAGGCCTGGGAGGGAGTAGGGAAGAGGGAGTTAATGCAGGAGGGGAGGGAGCATCTGTACTTCTTTCAACAATAAAGATAAATTTTTAAAAAATAAAATAAAAATGAGCAAAAGACCTGAATAGATACTTTTCCAAAGTGGACATACAGATGGCCAATAGACATGAAAAAATGCTCAAGGTCACTACTCATCAAAACATACAAATTATAACTACAATGAGGTATCAACTCACCCTTGTCAGAATGGCTACCATCAATAAAACAACAAACAAAAAATGCTGGCGAGGATGTGGATAAAAGGTAACTCTAGTGCACTGTTGGTGGGAATGCAGACTGGTGCAGCCACAGTGGAAAACAGCATGGAGTTTCCTTAAAATATTAAAAATGAAACTGCCTTTTGACCCAGCCATCACACTTCTGGGTATATAATCCTAAGAATCCCCAAACATCAATCAGAAAGCATATATACACTCCTATGTTCATAGCAGCATTATTTACAATAGCCAAGATCTGGAAAGAGTCCAAGTGCCCATCAGTAGATGATTGGATAAAAAACTATAGTACACTTATACAATGGAATACTATGTGGCTGTAAAAAAGAAGGAACTATTACCCTTTTTGAGAGCATAGATGGACCTGGAGGTTATTATGCTAAGTGAAATAAGCCAGTCAGAGAAAGAGAAGTATCACATGATCTCACCTATATATGGAATCCAATGAACAAAATAAACTGACAAAATGGAACCAGAGGCATGGATACATGGAAAAGACGGACAAATGTCATAGGGGAGTGGGGTGGAGGGTACTGGATAAAGATGAAGGGATTATCTAAAGGGCATATATGCATAGCCCACAGACACAGACAATAGAGTGGGCAGGGCCAAGGGAGAGGGGATGGGGCTGAGTGGAGGTGGGCAAAGTGGGGGTATTGAGGACACCTGCAATAGTATTAACAATAAAAAAAGTAAATTTAAAAAATATAAGCAGAAGAAAACTGTGGTATGTATACACACACACACACACACACACACACACACACACTGGACTATTACTCAGCCATAAAAAAAGAATTAAATCTTACCATTTGTAACAGCATGGATGGACCTGGAGAGTATTATGCTAAGTGAAATAATTCAGTCAGAGAATGACAAAAGCAAATGATTTCTCTTATATGTAAATTCTAAAGTAAAATATACACTAACAAATTAGAAACAGACTCATAGACATAGAGAATAGACTTTTGGCTGCCAGAGGGGAGGAGTTTTCGGGGACTGGGTGAAAAAGGTGAAGTAATTGAGAAAAACAGGTTGATAGATACAGAATAGTCATGGGGATGTATAGAACAGCCTAAGGAACAGAGGCAATACTATTGTAATAACTATGCATGGTGCCAGGTGGACACTAGATTTATTGGGGGTTTACTTCTTAAGCTATATTAATGTCTAAGCACTATGTTGTACACATGAAACTAATACAAAATAATATTGAATGTGAACTGCAGTTGAGAAAAATTGAAAAGAAATACATCCCTTGTAACAGGTACATGTGCCAACCTATCATCAATAGAGACACAATAATTAAAAAATAATAATCATAAAAACCCTGATAACAGCCCAGAAGCAGAAACTGATGTTAACAATGTGATTTTAAGGGAGGGCTACATTACAGGCTCTTCCCTAAAGCAAAGTTCCTAATGTTATCCTCTCCATGGCTTTCCACCTTAGGGAAGTCTGTGATAGCCCAATTATTGATCTATTTGTTCCTGCTCACAGAGCTCATAAGAGACCCTAGGCTTAAAAAAAAAGAAAACATATTTTTAAAATTTTGTGATAGTTTGAGACTTACAGAAGAGTTGCAAGAACAGTATAGAGAGTCTCCATATACCCTTCAATCACTGTCCCCTTATATTAATCACCTTATATAACTGTAGAACATTCATCAAAAACTAAAAAAAGTCACCTTGGTACAACACTATTAACCAAAGTATAGAACTTACTTGGATTTCACCAGTTTTTCCAGTAATGGCTGTTTTCTGTTCTAGTAGCCATTTCAGGATCCCACTGCATTTAGTTGTCATGTCTCCTTACTCTCTTTGAATCTGTGACAGTTCCTCAGTCTTTCCTTGTTTAAAAAATGTCACCTTGACACTTTTGAAATGTGCATCAGTTATTTGGTAGAGTGTCCCTCAATTTGATTTTGATTTTGTCTGATATTTTCTCATGATTAGATTGAGGTTATGCATTATTGGGAAGGATGTCACAGAGGTGCTGTGCACTTCTCATTGCACTGTACCGGGAGCACATGATGTCAATATGCCTTATTACTGGTGATATTAACCCTGACCACTTGATTAAATCACTGACACAGGTCATACAGAAGGCCCAAAAAGATAATAATTTCTCCTTAAAATGAGAACCCTAAAGGAAAGAAAGGCACATGTAGACATACCTGAAGCTTGGTGATGATTTCCTGTTTTGTGACCTCCACCAACTGATTATCCTCTACTGCAAAGGCTGGGAAGGAAATAACTGAAAGTAGACTAGCATCAACCTCTTTGGATGTTGAAGCCCGGGGGAGTATTGAATTAAGGATAGACTAAAAGAAAGGAAATCAAATGTAGCACATCAGTGAATAACTCGCGGTTATAAAACTAACAGATTTAGTTTCCAAAGATTTATGTAGAAGAGGATCATTCAGAAGAAAATCTAAACATCACTCAATAGAGAGCTTTAAAAACTAGCTATTTCTGTAAATTATCCCTTGTTTCAATCCCGCTCTTAATGTTTTCCAATCCTGATTGTTAAGCAGTTGCTAATGGATACAGAATACTCTTAACATCATTATCCCATCCACATTCCCATTGCTCCATGAGTAACTATTTAAGCATAAAGATAAGAGAAAATGTAGCTGCTGAAAAGTAGGAAATGGAAGCATGAAACAGAGTGAGGTAATTCAGAGGGAAGGGGGGGCAGGAAGAGATTAACCAATGAATTTATATGCATATATGCATAGCCCATGGACAGACAATAGTGCCAGGAAGGCCTGGGGAGGGGGCAGAAGTGGGGAGGAGGGGATCAATGGGGAGGACATCTGTAATACTTTCAACAATAAAGATAAATTTAAAAAAGAAAAGTAGGAAATGGAAGATCCAGCTCATATGTCCTTGATATTTATCTTTTCCATGAAAAATTTCGTTTTTACAATTAGAAGATGAGTTCATATTCACTATAACAATATAGATATATAATCAGGGTTTGAAGAAAAGAATAAAATCTTCCCAATGAGAAGAATCTTAATCTTTCAATACACAGAGTAATCCTATACAAAACTAAAGATAGGCATTTATCATTTAAACAGTCTAAACTCCAAACATTTAACCCTACAGACAACCTGGGAAAAGTGAATGTTTCAGAGCCACTATCAACACTCAAAATCAATCACCCCTTGCTCTCTTGCTATATTTAGAAAGGGAGATACTTAAGAGCATAGTCCATAGACTTGATATGACAACAATGAGGAATTCCATATACTAGGATGTGATCCCTTTATAACCTTGGATGAGAGAACAGGACTATGATCTATGTTACAGCTAATGCTATATCAGGCTTATCTTAGTATAGGATGTTTGATAAGATATTTTGTGCACATAGTAATAAATAAGATTATCTATTCTCAATCAGGTCTCTTTATTCTAAAATCCATACTAAGTCTGAATCTGGATAAGAATAAAATTTTCTATAATGTGGTCCATTATTTTCTTACCTGGCAGTGTTGTACTTCATCAGCAAGGACATGAATAACTGATTGGGGCCCACCTTTCACACCAAACAGATCCAGTTCATCTAATGCTTCCAGGGCTGCCTGTGAGGAACAAAGAAGGAAAGGCCAAGTTTATTATTATAAAGATATATATTTCTACTCCTTGTACCTCAGTATCATATCATTGCACACAATGTCATTTTGAATATGTTCAGCAGAACATAAAATACAGTAATGTCCTTTATTGCTAGGGGCCTCTGAGTTGTTCTTTGCTTCCATATTGTCCCAGAGGTAGTTAAGATGAAGGTTGTACCCATCCTTTCATGATAAAAACCCTAAATAAGTTCAATATACAAAGAACACACCTCAACATAATCAAGGCCATATGTGACAAACACACAGCTAACATTATAATCAACAGTAAAAACTGCAAACTTCTTCTCTAAGGTCAGGAACAAGAAAAGGGTGCCCATTCTCACCATTCTTACTCAACATAGTGCTAGAAGTCATAGCCAGAGCAATTAGGCAAGACAAAGAAATAAAAGGCGTCTAATTTTGAAAGGAAGTAAAACTGTCATTATTTACAGATGATACAATCTTATATATAAAGACTCAGCCAAAAACTAATAAACGAATACAATAAAGTTGAAGGATATAAAATCAGCATACAGAAATCAGTAGCGTTTTTGCACACTAACAAAACATCTGAAAAAGAAATAAAAAAGAAACTATCCCATTCACAATAGTATCAAAATCAATCAAATACTTAAGAATAAATTTGCCCGACCAGTGTGGCTCAGCGGTTGGGCACTGACTTATGATCCAGGAGATCACAGTTCGATTCCTGGTCAGGGCACATGCCAGGGATACAGGCTCCATCCCCAGCAGGGGGCATGCAGGAAGTGGCCAATCAAAGACTCTCTTATCATTGATGTTTCTATCTCTCTTTCCTTCTTCTTTCCTCTCTGAAATCAACAAAGACATATTAAAAAAAAAAAAATTTAACCAAGGAGGTGAAAGATCTGTACAATGAAAACTACATTTTTATGAAAGACATTGAAGACATGAGCAAATGGAAAGATATTCCTTGTTCATGGATTGGAAGAAGTAATATTGTTAAAATGTCCATACTACCCAAAGCCATCTACAGATTCAATGGAATCCCTAACAAAATTCCAATGACATTTTTTAAAGAAATAGAAAAAAATGTTAAAATTTGTATGGAACCACAAGTCCTCAAACAGCCAAAGCAATCATGGAAAAAAAGGACAAAGCTGAAAGCATCACACTCTCTAACTTCAAATTATACTACAAAGGTATAGTAATTAAAATAGTATGGTATGGGCATTAAAATAAACACATAGATCAATGGAACAGAATAGAGAGCTCAGAAATAAACCCCTCCATTTATAGTCAATTAATATTTGACAAGAGAGTCAAGAACACTCAATGAGGAAAGGATAGTATCTTCAACAAATCAATAAATGGTGCTGGAAAAATTGGATAACTACATGCAAAGAAATGAAATTGGATCCTTACCTTATACTATTCATAAAAATTAACTTAAAAATGATTAAACATAAGATCTGATACCATAAAACTCCCAGAAGACACATTGGTTTTTGCAATGATTTTTTAGACGACACCAAAAGCACAAGCAACTAAAGCAAAAATCATGGACATACAAATGGCCAATAGGTACATAAGAATATGTTCAACATCACTAATCATCAGGGAAATGCAAATCAAAACCAAAATAGAATATCACCTCACACCTGTTAGAATGGCTATCATAAAAAAGACAGACAATAACAAGTGTTGGTGAGGATGTGAAGAAAACGGAAACTTGTACACTCTTGGTGGAAATGCAAATTGGTTAATCCACTATATAAAACAATATGAAGGTTCCTGAAAAAATTAAAAATAAAACTACTATATGATCCTGTAATTCTACTGTTGGGTATATGTCCAAAGGGAATGAAAACAAGACATTGAAAAGATATATGCTTTGTTTACTGCAACATTTTTCACAAAAGCCAAAATGTAGAAAAAATCTGAGTGTCAACAGATTAATCGATAAAGAAGATGTTATATACATATATATATGTATACACACACACATATATATATGTGTGTATATATATAATGAAATATTGAGCCATGAGAAATAAAAATCTTGCCATTTGTGACAACACGGACAGACCTTGAACACATTATGTTAAGTGAGATGTCAGTCAGACACAGACATGTACTATACTATATCACTCAATGTGGGAGCTAAAAAAATCAAACTCATAAAAACAGAATAGAATAGTTGAGACCATGTGCTGGAGGGTGGGGGACTTTGGGAGATGTTGTTTAAGGATACAAACTTACAACCAGTAGATAAATAGGTCCTGAAGATCTAATTCACAACACAATGATTAAAGAGAAAAGCACTGTATTAAAAACTCCAAAATTGTTAACAGTGTAAATATTAATTGTTTTTACCACAAAAAAGAAATGATAATTATATGATGTAATAAAGGTGCTAGCTAATGCTTTGGTGGTAATCATATTGTAATAAATATATGTACCAAATCAATGTCTCAAATATACACAATGATAAATGTCAATTATATTTTAATGAAAATAAATTTAAGGGATTGGAATGATGTCCATATCATGGTGGAGTGAGAAGACTCTTTTGTTTCACCCCTTAAATTTACAAGTTGGACAACTATAACTCAACAAAGGATACCCTGCTCAACACAAAAACACACCTGAAAAATACATTCATTGGAACATCTGAATGTGAGCAGATTGGGACAAGTGAGAAGGTGGCATGAAGAACAAGATCAGGAATGGTGGCCATGGATGTAACTGGGTGCACAATGCAGCTCCAGTGAGATGGTGGTAGCTGTGGAGAAGTAGGGCTGCAGCCCTCACACTATTTCCTGGATTTTAAGAGTGGCAGAAGAAGTGGTCTCTTGGGAAAAGGTATCTCCCTTCCCCCTTCCCATCATGGCAGATCCCGGTAGAGGTGGCTGGGACTTTAACAGTGTAGTGATGCTGACAGTCATTGCTGGCAGGGGTTGGAACAAGATGATGCACTTGTTTCCGTTGACCCACCCAACCTGGCAGAGCCCAGTAGAGGTAGTGGAGACACTTCCGAAAACACAGCAGAGCTAGTAACTATTAGTAAAAAGAAGGTAGCACAGGGAGTTTGAAAAAACAGTTCTACACCACCAGCCACATTCCTCAACCAAAATGGTAGTGCACAATAATCATGGAAAGTGGTCATAGAAGGGACATCCACCATCCCAGTGGGTACATGGCATTTTCCTTAACTGAAGCAATGCAGCTCCACCCTGATTCCAGAGGCACAAATAGTACAGGTAAGATAAAACAAAACCTTGTGCTATACCACCATCTGCTGGAAAACAAAGGAAAGTACCTTACCTATCAATCTACTGAATTGTCAAGAGAAAAACAGTATCTAAACAAAAACAGAACTCCCTACCTGAAATGTGCAGGCAGAGAAAAAAATTCATCAAATACAACGAACAACCAGGTAACATGGGAGTACAGAAAGAAAAGGAAAAGTATCTAAAAACCAAAATCATAGTCACGGAAGACTGTGCCTTATCTGACAGAATTTAAGTAGCAGTTATAAAGAACCTCAACAAGATACAAGAGAACTCAGAAGGAAAGTTCAGTGAGCGCAGGAATAAAATTAACAAGCAAAATGAGTACTTTATGAAAGAGACTGGAACTATAAAAAATAACCAAATAGAATTCAGGAGTTCCAGGTAAATCAGCCTGCAGGCAGAGGAGGACCTCTGGGTGCTTTGAGTCTTTTCCCGATCTGCTTATGGACCTTGGCTTTTGAAAAGCAGAGTTTAGTGTGCATCTTGGTCCTGTCCAAATGCAACCAACCTCAGCAGAAGGAACCACAAAACATGAATTGCTGATAGCTCCAAACAGGGTATTCAAGACCAATCATAAACAGTATCTGGCATTGCCCTGCACTGTAGACCCTTCAAAAAGACTAAGAGTCCTAGCAGATGTACCTAATGCATAGAAACAAACCCAAATAGAAAGCCAATATGGGGAGACAAAAAAATCAAGCCCCAAATGAAAGAACAAGACAAGTCTTCAGAAAGAAAAAAAAAGCTAAATGAAATGGAAATAAGCAACCTATCAAATATAGAGTTCAGAATACTGATTGTAAGGATGCTAAGATAGGGAAACTATTAAGGAAATTAAGAATGACATAGCAGAAACATAGAATACATTGGAAGGAATAAACAGCCGGTTAGTGGAAACTGAGGATCGGATCAGTGAATTAGAAGACAGGGTAGAAAAAAATCAGTCAATCAGAGAACCAAAAAGGAAAAACAATTGAAAAACAGGACAGTTTAAGGGAGCTGTGGAACAACATGAAATGCAACAATATTCACATCATAGGAATGCCAGAAGGGCAAGAGAATAAGCAAGGAATAGAGAATCTGTTTGAAGAAATAATGGCAGAAAACTTCCCTCACCTGGTGAAGGAAAACGTCCCACAAGTTCAGGAGGCACATAGAGTCCCAAGCAAGNACACAAGTTCAGGAGGCACAGAGAGTTCCAAGCAAGAAGAATCCAAAGAGGCTCACACTCAGATATATCATTATTTAAAATGCCAAGAATTCAAGACAAAGAGAGAATCTTAAAGGCAGCAAGAGAAAACCAATCTGTTACCTACAATGACTGTCAGCTAATTTCTAATCAGAAACTCTGCAGGCCAGAAGAAAATGGCATGAAGTATTCAAGGTAATGAAAAGCAAGGATCTGAAACCAAGACTACTCTATCCAGCAAGGCTATCTTTCAAAATAGATGGCGAAATAAAGAGCTTCCCAGACAAAAAATGGCTAAAGGAGTTTGTCACCACCAAATCAGCATTGCAAGAAATGATAAAGGGATTGCTGTAATAATAAGAAGAAACAGAGAGAGAAACACAGGCATAAAGAATTAAAATGGCAATAGATAAGTACCTATCAATAATAACCTTAAATGTAAATGGATTGAATGCTCCAATAAAAAGACATAGGGTAGCTGAGTGGATAAGAAAACATGATCC